AGTAGAGAGAGTAGTAGTAGAGTAGAGTAGTAGTAGTAGTAGTAGTAGTAGAGTAGTAGTAGTAGTAGGTAGTAGTAGTAGGAGAGAGAGAGAGAGAGAGAGAGAGAGAGAGAGAGAGAGAGGCTCAATTATCTATAGAATTAGAAGGTGGCATACCTCCTTTTATTGGTTACAAGCTCCCCTTAGGTGTGCCTATCCGATGACATAGCTTGAATAGGAATTTAGGAAATCTGTGAGATGAGAGAGAAACAAATCCGAGCCATCCAACCCTTAAAACAACCATCTTGATTTAGGGAGGAATATTAAGAGATTATCCCCTTAATATATGACCCATATCCACTTCTAGTCCAAATAGGATTAATCCAATCTAGAACCTTTTAGACCTTCCTAATATCTCTTTAAAAAATGTAGAAAGTCAAAGATAATATAATTTTGGTCAAACTAACTCCCACAAAAAAGAGGAACATAATCTTTCTTTTTACAAGATTATTTTTCCAACTTAAGTATCTCTAATTTCAAACAAACTTTTAAAAACAAGGTGTGGGGTGTGCCACCCCTATGGGTGGCATGTGGCCAAATGGCCTACGCCCCAGCCATGTGAGGGTGGCACACATGTGGGGCTGGATTCAAAGAGCCCGAAATGTGCCCTTCCTTATAAATAATATATCGAAAATACCTTTTTAAAGGATTTTATAGCCGAAAATAAATTTTAAAAATCTAAAAAAAAATCTAAAATTCATACAAACATTTATAATACTGAAAATAAAATATCTGAAATTGGATTGTTACCAGTGGGTCTTAAAACAAGTGACTATAAGGGCACTCCACCCGACCTTAGTTATCATGATCCAAAATTGTCTTCTCAAACCGTCGCAACGGGACCTATGACCCATAGTCTTATACAAGGGCTCATGATTGGCTTGTCAAAGCCGACCAATAAATAGTGGAACCACAGTTCAAGAATGTGGAATACATTCCTACCCCCACCCCCCCGCAAAAAAAAAAGAGCAAGTCATGCACATGCCACTATAGTGCAAAAGGGGACTCTCTCTATGGACATGTACATGTGTCCCTCTATAGGGATTTTTTGAAAATGCAGTTGTCATCTGTAGATGCCATGTGAAAGTTTATTGAGAGTCCTTGCTTTCAGAGGCTTATATCCGCACACACAGGACCACATAACTCTCCTAACATGCAAACCATCCTTGGGCATCTCTGAGATCTCAACAAAGGATGACCCACTATAAACCCTTTTCATAGTACCACATGCCCAAGGTTAAGAGTTTTGGACATGACCAAGGCCATAGATTGCCTAACCTTTGGTCAATCAAACAATACACACTCCCATTAAGGTGTGTAATATGCTCTAAATGTCTTTTGCATGCTCTCACAGCCTTTAACAGCCACAAACGCCAACAGTTTGTAGGCCAGGAGAGCTTTGTGGTCTTTATATGCAATTGTAAGCTTGTGAGAGTGAGAAGCAAATCCTTAATAAGTTTTTGCATAGTATATACACATGATAGCCACATTTTGGGAAGCAACCTTGAAGAGGGGATATGCATATTTGTACATAGTGATATGTGCATGTTACTGCTTAGATGGGAAATCTGTAATCCCAATATTAGTACCATGGTTCTACTTTTTATTGGCTAGCTTTGACGGGCTAATCATGAGCCCCTGTGCATGACTGTGGGTCATATTAATTTTGTTGGGTTGGTTTGAGAAGATAATTGTAGATCACGATTTTTAATATGGGTGGAGGCCCTAACAGTCACTATTCTTGACCCATTGGTACCAATCCACTTCTAGAAGTATTTCTGAGTGTTTTAGAATTATTAAGAACTTCATAAATATGTTTCAATTTTATTTATGCTCCTGTGATTTTTAAATATTTTTAGAATTTCAAAAAAAATATTTCATGGCTTAAAACCCTAAAAGAGGCAATGTTAAATTTTTTGACATTCATGGGCATATTATTTTTTAGTGGGATCCATGTAAGGAGGGGGGCTAAAGTCCCAGCTCCCACACGTGTGGAACCCACATGGGGTAGAATGTGGGGCCCCCAAGGGCCACACACCCCACAATGGATGGGATGCTCCACATCTAGTTCTAGTCAAACTAAAAGTGAGGGCATAAGGTTCCTAGATTTCCTCCCTAGATCATGATGGTTGATTTTTGAGAAAGACGGCTCTGGTTTGTTTCTCTCTCACCTCACAGAGTTCTAGGGAATCCTAACGTCAAACTGAATCCTAATTCTAAGTGGAATATCCTAGGGCTATTGATGCCCATTGATGCTTATATAAAATAGGGTCTTCCCCTCATTTTCAACACCTTACTTTCAAACCTCTCTCTCTTCGTCTCTCTCTCCCCTCCATGCCTCCACATCATCTCTCTCTCTCTCTCGCTCTCTCTCCCTGTAGGTGTCTCTCCTCTCTAGGGTGGCACACCCCACCTAGGTCAAGGAGAGGGGGTATGCCCACCCCTATCTTGTTAAGGGGAGTTGCCACGTAGTGGCATATGTCCCAAAGGATTAAAAGGGTCAATGAAATCTAACATTTAACAGTTTTTTTAAAAAAGAAGTCCTAATCTCCTATCCTATGCTCTCAGCTCCATAGTTTTGCGAAAGGGTATTCTATAGGTGCGTCCTAGTTCATAGGATTCACTAGGACCAAAGGATCATAATGCACCATCGGTTTGGTAATCTAGTGTGGGGTGTCCAAGTCTTAAGGACGTAACCTTAGGCAAAGGTTTAGTAAGTCTTCGTAATTTTGTTTATCAGTTCTATTTTTCAGTTATTGATTCATATTTTGCTTTAGAAGTCCTAATTGTATTTGGAATCCTATTTGAATAATTCCTAATTGTTTAAGATAATATTGTAATTTAAATTCAGTTTTGAATAAAGTTTTATTTCGTGGTAAGAGTTAAAGATCCTAGATTGTAGTAGATTTATTTCTGTATTGTAATTGTGGCAATTATAAATAGAAATTCTAGTTATTAATAGAGAAAAAGAGAATTTTTTTTGAATTTATACCTTTGAATTCTGCAGAGTCACCTACGTGAATTTATACCTGTCACCTACGTAAATACCTTGATGCCCTCTGCATTATCCTGAGCTCTATCTCGAACTTCTGCACTTTTTTCTACATCCTGGAGAAAAAGATCATTGTTGTCCTCCGATCCCTTTATTGCTGCATGTCTTTTGACCACTAATCATTGCAAAGGTTGGCAGTAGCGAGTTCAATTTGCGTACCTGGTGATGTTCCAAGATTGGCATGTCCTTGGAGCTGACATGAGGGTTCAGTTATAGTGATATTCATTTTTCTGGTGGCTTGCATGGCCCTGCACTTGTCTGCTTGGCTATCTGGCTTTACTCTGTTTGCTATGACTGAGTCTGACATTTTAGTAGACAAGTGTGCCACTGGAAATAGAACGGAATCATAGAACTTGTGTCCTTCAATACTAAATGGAATGCTTGACAAACATTGTGTTCCCTTCAATAAATGGACTGCTTAAAATATTTCTAAATATTAACCTAAATGATTTTGAGAAGAACAAAAAACATTGACAAACCATACGCAACCGACGACTTCTATGTGATTATGTATAAGAAGAAGTATTCGAAGGAGTGCTCTAGGATATGTACTTTTTAAGGTATGCGACAATGTTCTATGATGCAAGCAAATGCTGATATAGTGTTCTTTTAAATTTAAAGGGAAGTTTGCATCTCAAGCATGATAGCAGCTCTCTATTCACTTCATTTTATAACTAGCGAGCTGGCTCTTGGTGATCTCAGCTCGGCAGAGTCCTAGTTGAGTCTTGTAAGGGACTTGTTGGCCATACCTATAGTTGTTGAAGACGGGAATAGGATTAGAAGTGGGATCGGTTCGGGAATCACCGAACCTCCCTATTGCTGAAGTTCCCTGGTTGGGATCGGCGTACGTACAATGAACAAGAGAGGGAATGAGATCCTTAGGTTTATGGAGCGAGATTCCATATCGATGGGTTCGAGGTTTTGACTGGCAAGAATCTAAGCTCCACTACGCATTAAATGAGGTTGTCAAGTAGAGCTAGTACGGGTTCCCTTGGTTTAGGGATTGAGGTTTCTGTTTGTCATATAACGGGGTTCCGCTTGTTCTAATATCGAGATTCTTCAAGTATAGGAATCAAGGTCCTCAGTTGATTGGTCCCAAGGTCCGCAACTACCATTGGTTAAGGCAACGAGTCTAATATGTATATTATCTTGTAGTTAAATAAATTTATAGTGCCTCATTTCTATAAATCACATGCTTACCTGCTACTTGGTAAATGCTAAATACTACTGAACACTTTACTGTATATGTCCATAGTCCATGCTCCAAAATCCAATATGTACATATATGGGCGTCAAATATGGACCGGTCTTACAGGATGAGCATATGACAACTCTAATTAAATAGATCCATAGTGCCTATTTTTAGGCATACATGCTACTTGATGCTTACATGCTACTTGATGAAATATTAAATACTTTTAGGCACATTACTATATAGTCTGTGGTCCATAGTCCAAAATGTAGTATTACATCTTATTCTAAATAAGTGCATCAAACCATATTTTTATGCAACACATGCCTCTATGCTTGATAAATCTAAGGAGTATGGATTATTTTGCTACTTAGTATGTGGTCCTTAGTCCAAAATCTAATGTGTATGACATACCCTATTTAATTAAATGCATATTACTAAAATTTGATTCTTCAGGTGCCTATATACTACTTGATAAATGCTAAAAGTATAGATTGCTCTATTAGATAGTCCATAGTATACTTATGTACTCCATTTTTCTTATATATACTCCAAATCCCATTAGAGGTATAACTTTGAAAACATAGTCCTTTGAACCACCAATATATTCCTTACACAAATCCAAAAAATAATCTACAAGTACACAAATTGGATTTTTTCTATTATTTTAATCAACTACATACTTAGATCATCAACACGTACCCCCGTCCCCCGCTCCCCACACACACACCTTCCCTCTTCCCCACCCAATTCCCCCTCCCTCTATATTAACCCTTGGACCCAAAACCAGCCCACACAGCTCCTTCGCCATTAGCTTGTGATGATCATTCCGGTGAATCTGGTCGCTCCTCCCAACGCTCCCACACTACGTGCACTTGTGCCCTTTCCCTATGTATTTCTGTAACTCTTGTGTGTGCATAAGAGAGAGAGAGAGAGAGAGAGTTGAGTGTGTGTGCAGTAGAGAGAGAGAGAGAGAGAGAGAGAGAGGTGTGTGTGCCGTAGAGACAGAGAGGTGTGTGTGTGTGTGTGTGTGTGTGCAGTAGAGAGAGTTGTGTGTGTGTGTGCAGTAGAGAGAGTTGTGTGTGTGCGCAGTAGAGAGAGAGTTGTGTGGAGTAGAGAGAGGTGTGCGCAGGGAGGAGTGAGAGTGAGAGCGAGGGAGAGAGTTAGAGTGGAGAGATAGTGACGAGATGAATGTTTTTTTGTTGATTTTCGTATATATTTTGTGATTTATGCCATAATCAGGTATTTGGATTGAAGCACGAATTTTGCATGGGGTTTCGATGAATTGAATTTCTAAGATTTATGTGATAAATCTAGATTTAGGATCAGAATATGAATGTTGTGTTGGTTACGTTGTCTTGATTTGACATTTTATCGGATAATCTGGTATTTGATCAGAGCATGAATACTGAATTTGTTGCTCTGTTATAAAACTTGCCACTTATATAAAAAGGGCAGGAGAGAGAGATGCAGGAATTGGGAGAGAGAGGTGTAGGAATACTGTGGAACTGGATTCATTTGTTTTTGAAAGTAGATTCTACATATATGGAACCGAAAATTATGATGTACCTAAACCTTGACCATGTTTGATGGGAGTGGGAATCTATTTCGAAATAGTACTGGAATCTACTAATGGTTGGAACGTGATCCCCTTTATTTGGGAGCGAGATCCCAAAATTGAAAAACCGAGGTCCTATAAGATCCCTAGGAGGAACCGTGGGATCGAGGTTCCGGAGCAGGAACACCACCCTACCATCACGGTTCTCTTAACTATGGCCATACCACTTGCGTGGAACCTGTGCAAGTCAACAGAACCAGTTGAAGGCTCCAGCTACTTTTGAGTTGTCTAATACGAAACTCGGCTTAGTCTACTGAATCTGGATAGCAGCAAGTTTGGAGTTCATGCTTTCAAGTGAAAATAAAGCATTGATTTGTTAATTTGACTCTAAGTACTGCATGAAATGCATTAATTAGGTCCACTCCTGAATGAGTGAATTGCACACTATGTACTCAATAACAAAAGGGCACCTGCACATCCACATAAACAAAAATATCCACAAACTTGTATGTTTGTCCATATGTGGACCACATTATATTCTTGGTTGAAGCTTTTATTAATGGTGTGGCTTTACTTTATTTTATTAGCTATTTGATACAGAAATTTGCTTTCAAGGATTTCAATTCAGAGAAAGGCTTCATGCAATAGCTTTCCAAGAGTCCTGTTGTTTCCTGAGGGCACCACAACTAATGGAAGAATGCTTATATCATTCCAACTTGGGGCCTTCATTCCTGGTTTTCCTATTCAACCTGTGGCTGTTCGTTATCCTTATGTACATTTTGATCAGTCGTGGTAATATTGTTATTCCAATTATTATCATTTCTTATTGCGTCATGATATTTATGTTTGAGCATAGTACTAATATATTTGACTTATTATTTATCCAGGGGTTATATTTCTTTGGCTCGGCTCATGTTCAGAATGTTTACCCAATTTCACAATTTCATGGAGGTGAGGCCCCATTTTCCGATTAATATTGGTTTCGTGGAGCTATCGCTTGCAAGTGCTTTTGCTTTGATTTCTTCATAGTGATCTGAGGTGGAGTCCCTTTGTAATAATTGTTTATAATTCAATGGGAACTTCATTTTTTCTGACTTTTGTCTCGACCTCTGTGTATTGCTGCCTCACTTGCTTTTCTTCATTTGAATCTATCCTTGGACTCTTGATGTCACTACTAGTACGAAGTGTTCAGTTCTTAAAATGAGTTCCATTTATTTTTTTATTACTGAAATTACTAAATTGTCTAGGCTTTTAGTTCATCATGTTCGACTAATGGCCATTTCCAATTCTCTTTTTTTCCCCTTTTTTTTGGGAAAACGTCATGTTTATATATAATACTCTTAAAGATATTGTATAGAAGTTTTCGATGAGTAGTGGAGGTAATAAGGCAGCCCACAAGTCAGCGCTCTATGTGTCTGCCGAATAAAAGAGACAAAAATGTGGGTCAGTAGGTCCCACTACCAGCAAAAATCGAGGGGACTGGGTCAGTAAGTAGAAGGTGTGGACAAAAACAGTTTGAGAAGTATGGACAAAAATGGCCCGTGATGATTTGGAATTGCAAGTTGAATCACACCATGTTTGCTGGCAGGATACTAGATTGATCCTACAAAGGTGAAAAATATGGTCGTAAATGTCAGCGAGCCTCCAAGGGCATGGTGCGGGGTGGGAAGCCCAAGATTTTTAACATTTTTGAGTCCCCTTTGATAATTAGGTGTGATCCCCTTGAAAGTTTAAATCTCTTGATGCCTTCAGTCCATTGTTGAGTCAACAATGCAGATGAAACCAGAAAAGGAGAGGATAGTGTTTCTGTATGTCTCTGAAGATTTGCCCAAAGCCTCTAGGGCCTGGATTGTCAAGTGAGCACTTGTCAACATTATGTTTTATAGTACCAGACTCCAGGGTATGCGATAGGGTGGCTCTAGGGATTCTGCGTGGTTTGTGTGAGAAGATGTTGATCCAGTTTGATTTGAATTCTGCTCTTGAAAAAAATGGCGCCCTTTGTAGTTTTTGGCCCAGAAAACATGGACTTCCTTTATGTGTTCGGTAATATGAGTTGTGCTCCTTTCTTTGTCTACAAAGACCCTCTTGTCTCTTTCACCCCAAATAACCCAAATGGTGGCATGGACTGATGCCCTCCAGAGGAAGAGGCCTGCAGCTTGTTATAGAGGGGTGAAATAGATCGCGACGAGTTGGTGAATGGAGTTCAGGATAACCTAGAGGTGGTCATGGATTTCTTTGTCCGTAGTTGAAACGCAACGGTTTCGTAAGCAAAAGCCCCTTCTTTGTAATTGGGAGGTTCCAGTTGGAGATAGCAAGCCAAATTAAGGCTAGCCAAACTTTGTTGTGGATAGAAGGGGTTTGTCGAATGGGATACATAGCATGGTAGATGGAGTAGATGGTGAACTTGCCTGAGTGAGGAGGGGCCTAGATGATCTTGTCATGTCCCCAGCCAGGCAAGGAAAAGCTTGTAGAGATTGGAACATGTCCGAGAGTTCGAGGGTTTCCTGGTCTGTCAAAGGTTGCCTGAAGGTGGGACACCATAGGAGGCCAGTGTTAGTGAATACAAAGCAGTTTTCCACCACAGTATTTGGATTCGAGGATACTATGAAGAGACCAGGCCGGCATAGGCCAAGCGGCTGCATACCAGCCCATGGGTCACTCCAGAATCACATTTACTTCCCATTGTTTATTATTTTGAATCTCACCGTTTCCATGAATTTCTATTGGCTGTTCATGATGTTCTTCCAGGCCCATGATGCATTAGCTCAGTTTTGTGCAGGGGCAACTATCTAAGAACCTCACACCTATAGTTGTGGTGCGGAACATTCGCTCATAGCTGGTAGTTTTGGGTGGCGAACCTGCACCACCATTTGCCTAGCAGGGCAATGTTTGTTCTTGGCTTCAGATCTGTAACCCACCGGTCTTCTTAGGAGAGCATATCTTTTCCAAAGAAACTAGATGGATTTCCTAGGTGGTCGCATTCCCTGATCACAGGAAATTCTTTATAACATGCTCCACTGTTACAGGCACAATGCCTCGCATGTGGAAAAGGGAGAGGAGGAAGATGGACATGTTTAGGGTGGCCTTGATGAGGATGTCATTTGCAATTCATTTTGAGACGGCATTGCCTATGTGGCCTCTAGTGTAGTCATGAATTCTTCTGTTATGTGGGTTCTCAGACTTTCTTTTGGGTAATCTTTCCAGCAGTTCTTGCTTATATGCATCTACATTATCAGTCATTTCAATCTGCTTTGGGCGCTTGCCATCATTGAAAGTATGAATATCTTACTTTGGTGTCTACTTTTTGCAAGGACTATTTTCCTCTACAGTTGTCAGATCTATTGACTATGTTCCCTGATATTGGCTGTGAATTTTTACATAGTGCATTCTCTAATAATTAATATCTAGGGTGGACTGCCTTTTATTAAATATTAGAAGTATGAACTACGAGAATCTCTCCAGTAATTTATGTTTAGAAAGTGTTGAGAGTTATATACATGGAAGAAAGTTTGTTACCGGCTACCATATAAGGAGGAAAGGCCTTTGTTGTTCTCATGCATGGAATGATTATTAATACTTAATATTTACCGTTTTATAAAATTTAAAAGTGTTATCTTCTATATATGAAAATAAGGTCAAATTAGTAGGTTTTTGAGAAAGCAACTAAATATTTTTAAAATAGGAAGTCCATAACTGTAAGATGTTTGAGAGTTTTAAGTATATATATATATATATATCATTAAATAATTACGAATTTTTATTTCATAAATGTAGTCCTGTATAATAATGAGATACATATTTTATAGTTTAACTTTTATATTTGATTCAATTACATAATATTTTTCTATTTTTCTATGTCTCTTAAGTTTTATATTATGGCTCTAGCTACTGTACTTTGTGGAAATTTATATAATAGTAATTTATGATAGCTATACAATGCATAGGGCGGATGGGGATCATTCTAATAGTTTATACCATCATTATATATTTCTGGATTTCCTATATATTTTTAGAAATTATAGATTGTTAATTACTCACACTATGAAATGGCCATTTTTTGTACTTTTCATAAACTATTAGAGATAATGAAGTATCTGATTATAAATTATCAGAGCACCCACTGTTGTATGTGGTCGATTTCTGGCATTTCTTACGGTTTGCTGATTTTAGTATTTTAGATAGAACCAATTTTCTTGATGTATAGCCGTATAAAATGGTTCTCAGAACAATCCTCCTTTCCTCGATGATTGGTGCTTATTTGATTGAATGTTAAACAAGTTTTGTCTAAGATGTTTTTGGCTAGTTTTGATGAGTATGAGCTAATTAGCTAAGTTTATTCTTGCTGAATTCAACAGGTGGAATATCTTCCTGTCATTTTCCCACTTGCAAGCAAAAAGGAAAGTGCTGTTGGTCTGGCTGAAAGGGTGAGTGTTGACGCTTACTTTTTTTTTTTGAGAATGTTAACCTTAAAATGAGTGTAAGGAATAGTACAAAAACCTAGGCAGACCAAAGAATTGGGTGCACTAGGGAAGGAAAACCAAAAATGAAGGCCAAAATCCTTCTAGAAGAAGGTTACAGTGTGCAAACAGCAACTAATAAAAGAAAGTGGTCCAAAATTCCCTGCTAGGTAAACACGAAGATTGCTAAAATTCCTCCCATAAAGCCACTTCTTTAGCTAGGGCATCTACTTCTTGGTTTCCCTCCCTCCAAGTATACTCATGAGACGTCCATATCCTGCACAGGTAATGAATGTGATCAAAGATGTGCGCTAGGGTCCAGGGTGGCGGTGAAGAGGGTATTCTTTGGGCCCACAGAATAGTGTTATGTGAGTCGCCCTCTATCACAATTGAGTGTGGGCTGAGAATTTGAAGTAGCTTTAGTCCTTCCAAGAGGGCATGGGCCTCAGCTGCCACTGAGTTGGTGTGGCCGATGTAACTGGAAGACGAAGCTACCGTGTTGCCTAAATAGTCTCTTACTATAGCTCCCACTCCCGAAGGACTTGGATTCCCGAGGGAGCTTCCGTCGAAGTTCAGTTTGAAAGGGTGGCGGTGGGGGAATCCAACAGGAAGCACATGCTGGTCAGTTGCGATTGTGTTTTAGGACAACAGACCAATCCTGAAAGAAAGCCGTTGTGGTGACTCCTTTGAAACTGTGGTGGTTTGTTGCCCAAAAGACAACTGTGGATTTTAGCTGAGTGAAAATTTTGTTCCATATGGAGTATTCACCCCTAAACGCTCTATTGTTTCTCTCAATCCATAGAGCCCAGACGGTACCCACCACCATGGATTTCCAAAGGAGAATCCTAGGTTTAGGCCAAGGAAAGGGCTGGACATATGAGAGAATGGACGGGACATGCTCGGGTGTGACCCATTGAATGTCGAAAAGTTTGAGAATACCCCCCAGAGATTATGAGCAAAGGGACAATGTAGTAGGAGGTGGTCGTTTGTTTCTTCGGCAACCATACACAAGACACATCGGTTTGGGAGTGGGATGCCCCTGCGCTATATTTGATCAACTGTTGGCACTATTTGGGAGAGTGCTAGCCACATAAAATTCTAGATTTTTGATGGGGCTATGGAGACCTAAGCCTGAGAAACCGAAGTGGAGGGTGCTGCAGGAGCAGTAGAAACTTGTGAAGGACTACGATAGAATGAGGATACCGAGAAGCTCCCGGAGGCTGAGGGGGACCAAATGATCCTATCTGGGCCACTGTTTGCAAGATAGATGGACTGAAGATCAGCCGCTAGTTCTGCAAATTGGGAAACTTCCAAGTCATTAAGAGCTCTTCGGAACACAGGGTTCCAAGATCTCGCATGCCCCGCTAGGACCATCTCATCTTCAACAGTAGCCTATTGTGTACCAAACTGAGAATATAGGTTTGGGAATCTGTCCTTGAGGGGATATGTCCAAGCCAAAGGTCTTGCCAGAAGAGGATGCGATTCCCCTGTCTGGGATGAAACCTTATGCGAAACTGGAAGTGATAGTGAGCCGCACAAATGGATCACTAGATTTCAGAAGATCTCTGGTTGGGCTTGAAGTCAGGGACACATGGTGTGGTGGGTATTCGATATTTGTGATGAAGGATGGTGTTCCACAGTTGGTCCCTTTTGGTGCCCAGGCGCCAACTCCATTTGCCTAGGAGTGCCACATTTTTGCTTCTTAAGATATTTGATCCCTAATCCCCCCATTTTTTTGGACAGGCAGAGTTTATCCCAGTCTATAAGATGAAATTTGTTGGAGGAGGCATCCCCAGACGAAAAAAACCTTCTCATCAACTATTCTAATCTTGCGCTAACGGCTACCGGCATGCGAAACAAGGACATTTGGTAAACTGGTATATTATTAGTAAGGGTGGCTTTGATGAGGATCAGTCTGCCTCCCAGATAGAGGAAGCAACCTTTCCATCCGGCTAACCTACGGTCTACCTTGTCAATTACGTGAGACCAAAGTCTCCTTTTAGGCTTTCCCAAGCAGAGAGGTAGGCCAAGGTATTTGGACGGAAGAATATCTGGCCCACATCCCCAACTGTCTACAAAAGAGTTGTGGGAGGTCTTATCAACATTAATCCCCATCATTTTGGTTTTGTCGAAATTAACCTTGAATCTCATCACAAACTCGAAACATCTAAGAAACAAGAATAGATTTCCCACGTCTTTTGAATCGGCATTGCAAAAAACCAGGGCGTCGTCTGCATATTGGAGATGCGAGACTGTCGGTCCTTGGTGACCAACTTTGAACCCATGTAAGAAGCCAGCTGAATACATTCTAGAGATAGATTGACTGAAAACTTCGGCTTAGATTGCAAAGAGAAAGGGGTAGAGGGGGTCTCCTTGATGTAGAGGGGGTTCCCCTGGATGGAAAGAATCCCTTAGGGGAACCATTGATGAGAATGGAGAAGTGTGGATGAGAGTAGCAGGCCTTCATCTAGGATCTCCATCTTGAGCTGAATCCCATTCTAGATTGGGTTTCCTCAAGGATATTCCAATCTACGTGATCGTAAGCTTTCTCTCAGTTAAGCTTCACGAAAATTCAGGTTCCCTGGTTAGGTGTCTAGAGTGAATGCATTCATGAGCCACCGAAGCACCGTCAAGGATTTGACGATCTTTAATGAATGCACTTTGAGGGGGGAAGATTACCAGGGATATGACTTCTTTTAGTTGGGAGGCCAAAACCTTGGCTAAGACTTTATAAGTAGAATTGACCAGACTAATAGGTCAAAAGTCTTTGAGGTGGGTTGCTCCTCCAACCTTGGGAATGAGGGTTATAAAGGTAGCGTGCAGGACTCGATGGATAACTCCCCCAGAAAAGAATTCTTCGAACATCGATAGGCAATCATGTCGGAAGACTTCCCAATATTGTTTGAATAGGACAATGGGGTGTCCGTCAGGCCCTGGAGCTCTGTCTGAGGCTAACTAAGATAGGGCAGACAAGATTTCATGCTCACAAAATGGTCTTTCGAGCTAAAAGACTTTTTCAGGTGGAAAGACCAAAAAAGATAGATCCCCCATGGGATTTTGGACCCTGTCGGGGCGGAGAAGAGGTTTTTGAAGTAGGTTAGGATGTGGTGCTCGACATCAAGTGGTTGGTCTATAAGGTGATCTTCCACTAACAGATGCGAGATGGTGTTATCTCTGTGCCTGCAAATGGCTGTTCTATGGAAGAAGCCAGTGTTGAGGTCCCTGGCCTTCAACCATTTTATTATGGATTCCTGATGCCAGAATATTTCTTCTTGCTTCAGTTGGGATTGGTAAAAATACTTTAGTTGGATTCTTTGAAGGAATTCTGATTCCGATAAGTTCTCGGTAATGTCGAGCGCCTAGATGGCTACGAGGGTGGCTCTTTTTTGGGGGTTGAGGAAACCCGGGAGGCTTGTACTCCAAGATTTGAGGCAAGCCTTGAGCAGTTGGAGTTTGCATTGAATTATGAAACCAAACCAGCCTGGGACCAAGGCTGACAAATCCTGCCACCAGACAGGGAATAGCGAGGCGAAGGTGGGTTCTTCCAATCAAACCAGTTCGAGCCTAAAAGGTTTGGCACCTCTTTGAGCAGGGTTGATGTCCAGGAGAAGGGGACAATGATCGAAGGTGGGCTTGGGTAAGGCTAAAGAATGGGTCCTAGGGAACGAGGAGTCCCAATCAATAGAGACCAGGAACCTGTTGAGTCTAGAGAGGGATGAGATGGTGGAGTGGTTGGACCGCGTATACTTTGCTCCTTGAGTGGGTAGATCAAGGAGGTTGTTAAGGCTAACGAAGTCTGAGAAGGCCGTCATGGCTGGAGTGATCGTAGAGGAAGAATTCCTCTCGAAGGACCATCTTGTGACATTGAAGTCCCCCCTAGGCACCAAATGGGGTGTGGGAGGGAGGCAGTGCTGATGAGCTCGTCCCAAAGACAATGCCTTAGCAAGTCTTGATTGGGCACGTAAACGGCTGTAAACTTCCAAAGCAAGCCATCAGATATTCTTGACAAAAGTAAGGTGACCGAAAAACTCGCAATGTGAGAGGAGGTTAGGGAATGAGCAGTGGGGTCCCAGATGACCCAAATGCCACCTGATGCCCCTTCCGTAAGTAAAGAGACCCACTGACAGGGTCGGCGTCCCCATATCTGTCTAACCTGGAATAGGGTAGGATGGGGTGACTTAGTTTCAGTGAGGGCCAGAATTGTGGGCTGGTGTTTGAAACAAAGATCTCTCACTGCCTGCTTTTTCTGGTCCTGGCCGAGACCACGAATATTCCAATTGAGGATCAGCATAAGGGTGAGAGAGAAAGAGGAGAGTTCCTAAGGGAACATTTCACCAATTGGCCCAAAGTGGGAGCTTGTGAGGTGGTTGTGGAGGTAGAGGGGGTACTGGTGGAGACTCTATCATAATTGATAGTGCAAGCAAGGTTGGTAAGTTCAGCCAAACTAGGCTGGGGTGGGTTGAGAGAGGGTATGTGAAGGGTGGGGGTTGATTGGGATGCAAGAGAGGGAGAGAAAGTAGGGTTGGGGCAGGTGCCTGCTAGAGGAGGGTTGTCCCCTGGGAGAAGCAGTGCGGCAGGGGGTGAAGGGGCGAAGTTAGGGGTGACAAAAAGGGTGGATAAAAGTGTCGAGGTGTCGGTATGGTCAAGAAGCGAAGAGGGGCTTATAGGGGTGGTGAGAAAGGGTAGGAGAGCAGCAGGGGTGAGAAAAGGAGGTCCCGAGTGGATAAAGGGTGAGGGTGCAGCCAGTAAAAGAGGAGGTGGTGGAGAGAGGAGGATAGAGCTGGGCAGAGGCAGGACAGAGATGATAACAGGTTCTCCGCTGAGGGGATCTGCAGATTAGCTTATAACAACAGGAGTGGCTGAGATTAGCTTAGTAGCCGGGATACCCTCCATGTCCACCAGTGTCCACCTTCTCTGGGGGAAGAGATGGTGTTGTGTCTCCTCCGGGTGATGCTTTTGCCTCTTCCCCAAAATCTATGAGTAGAGGCGAGGATGGAGGTGAAGGCCGGGGTCCAGCTAAAAAAGGGGAGAGGAAAGGACCAGGCGAGCGGGGTGGCAGTTGAGGTAGGCGGGGGGGAAGGCATGATGAGGTGGTTGTTCCCTAGGCAGCAAAGTGCCCAGAGGCAGATTTTCCATGGATGTCCAGTGGACCGCCACAAAGGACTCGCAAGAGTTACCAATGGCCTTGAAGGTGTCAAGGCACCAAGCGTGAAGAGGGATAGAGGAGGCCTGGAGCCAAACCTTTTGCCAGTGAAAGGCTCCCAGGATAGCGGTCCACCTAGACAACTGAACTGAGGCCCCTCGGAACCGAATGTTGTGAGTCGTTCTCAGGGCGAGAACAGCTCCTTCTATTGAGGGGAATGAGAAGAGGAAAGACCCATTGGAGAGTTGCTTGTACCTGAATTCTAGTACTTTCCAAATCTCTTTGGCCCAGGTCATCTCTCTGAGGATGAAAGATGGCCACTAAAGAGGAATTGTAGAGTTGGGCAAAGTTGCAGGAGGATTCCTGGGGGACGGAGAATAAGGGAGGGGTGAAAGAAGCGGGAGAGGGCAGGGGAGGTGACATTCTTCAAAAAGAAAAAAGTTTGAGTGTTGACGCTTATTATATCTACCATTATGATATTAAGTCAACTGCTGTAGATTTGGATGACTAGATCTGTACAGAGCAGAAGTATGAATTAGCCATAAGTTGTAATGCATCCTTTTCCTTCTTTATGAGTCATGAGACCTGGATTTTTGAGGTTTGTCTTTTTTTTCCTTACCCAAAAAAAAAAGTTGAAATAGTTCCGTAATGTTACCGATGCATTTTCAGGCTTAGCGATGAATAGGGGATGATATGCCATAGATTTCTTATTGGGACTAATGTGTTGTATGGAAAAGCTGTTGTGATTATATCCTAAGATTACTGATAAGATCCATTATGCATTGAAATCATCAACTCTACATTTTTGTCGATGATTATGGGTCCAAAATAAGTTGGGAGCATTTTCTCTTGTAAAAAATATCCAAGGCCCTGTTTTGGATATGATTTTTGACAAATAAAGATCTGATTTGATAAATGTAGCTGTTATCTATAGTTTTGAATCATTCAAAAAGTTTCAAAACTCCTAAGTTGAAGAGTTCGAGACTTGCTGCACTTCTTTAGTGGATCTCGTCTCAAGACTCGGCGAGTCTCAAATTTCTTCTTACTCTCTTGTGCAGTCATAGCCATATACATTACTTAATCATTTGACTTGTGATATTGCAGACGAGCTATGCCATTGCAAGTGCTCTTAATGTTATACAGACTTCACATTCATATGGGGATTTGATGCTTCTCACAAGAGCATCAGAATTGGGATTGGTGAGACTAATATTGTTACTTGACATATGGCATGTTGTTGATGTGATTGAACTTACATTTTTCCTTTCTATACATATTTATTTTCTTTCTTTTACATGCACTTTATATCATGTCATATAAACCAGGAAACCTGAGTGTGCTGATATTTTTCCAAGTTGCAAAATGGGACCTTGCCTAGTGGCTAGTAATGTGTCCAGTGATGGCTCATTTTGATTATTAATGGGGTAAGGTGTTGTGTGTCTTTACCAAGTGACAAAATGCACCAAATGATAACTTGGCAGTGGCCCGAGTGCCTAGGTGGCCCAGCTGCCTGAGTTTAAAGCACAAGGAAGTTTAAGGTTATCAAAATATGCTGCAGATATCACATTTATAACATAAAATATGTTCGCGTTCTCCTGTGCATCATTTTATATTGTTTTCCAGTACACATACACATTGCTTATTTTGGAGTTCAAGGAAAAGCCATTGCTTTTTTGTGTAATCTAGAATACTAAATTTTCTCATGCAAGGTAGCATTTACACATCCTAATCATGCCCTCCTCTAAGCTCCAGTAAAGGTTAACAGAATATAAACAAAGTATTTGTTTGAAGATCACTGTATTTCCGAATATATTCCAAGCAAAGCACATTAAGATTTTTGGATGTTTTACTTTTCCTCTTCCAGTAACATAGGGGTATGGTGCATTGGGTGTTGAAAGATAAAGTGGGGGAAATGACAAAAATACCTTCAAACCAAGGGCTATTTGTGCCATAGAACCTTGGCTCTGCCATGAGTGGGGGCAGCACTTGGAGTTAACCTGGCCCTAGAATTGGATTTAGCCCATGCAGTGCCTAGGTGTTCTAGATGGCAGCTTCCTAATGCTCTGATGTAAGCTGCATTGCTTGCTAAATTTGATTATTGCGTCCATATTATTGTTTGTTTTGAGTTGAATGAAAAAGCAATGCATGGTATTTATTTGTCTCTAATATATTTAGATGTAGTACAATAGCTATGATAAACATCTTTTCAGCATTAGAAAATGTGTAAGATTTCAATCACTTAATTTGTATATGCACTGATTGACTCTTTCTAGCTTTCATGTTATTCATTACATTCTCCTGTTTTTCTTGACCTGATCGTTCAATTTAAGAAGTTGTTGCGACGAGGACGCTCAAGATTATTGAAGGAATATTTTAATTCTACCAACAAATTTATTTATATTGAGCTATAGAAATTCATTTTGCATATTATTTGATTTCACATGGTATTATTTGTCATGCAGGACAAGCCATCAAGTTACATGGTTGAAATGGCTAAAATGGAAAGAGTGAGTATTGAACTAAACAACTCTTTTCTTTTGTGCTCTTTTCAAGTGTGAAGCCATATGGTAATACTTTGTTAAGTACTGAAATTACCAAAATTGTTTTGATTAGCTAACCTGATGTACCCCAGTAAAGAATTATCTATTATTTGATTTTTCTGTTTTCTCTTCTTGGTATTAGAAATATAATGCGGCTTTAAACATTTCGGCAATGGAAAAGGTTCTTCCATGGGACGTGTCCCTGGGCACTTTATGCAAAATATGAGCTTCTGAGTATGGATCTTATGTTAGTGGTTCGGTACAAAATAGTGAAAAGAACTTGGAGACTCAGGCTTGGACTCACTCGCCTTTCTCGCTAGAAGTCGGCTACCTGCCATGTTGGGATGTGCTATATTGTGGGGGGGCCCTGTACGAAACTGCTGGGTCCCCGTAGAATCCTTGGCAGGTCTACATCGGACTTGCCCAAGTGGCCAAGTCTAGTCTGAGTCGGCAAAAACTTGATGCTTCTCACAGTTTCCGCCACCCTGATTACCCTCGGCAGATAAAAGAAATTCAGCATTGGGGATTTTGCAGCCCTTTATCACTTGATTGCATCATTTTTTATTAAAAAAATTTAAAATAACAGATGTTAGAGAATTTGAATTGGGGAATTTGAGTTTGCCACAGAGTTTGCGAACCTTGGATCAAGTGGATCTAAAGCCTAGCCCCAAAAATAAATTGGGGGTTTGATTTGGTTGAGTTTGAGTATTGATTTACAGTCTTTAAATTTATTATTTTCATTTTATTTCTCATTGTGATTTTATTTATATGATTTCTCTAGATCTGGTGCGATTTCTTCAGAAACCTCTAGGTCTATATGGATCTGGATTTTATTTCATATAGATCTGGTTTTCTTTTGTAGACCAACAGCTAGATCGTCTATTTTTTCTTGGAATATTTACTTTTTTGAGTGATATGTGGAAATTATTTGTACAAATAAAAAAAATGTCATGATTAATGATTTTATCATAGAATATATTTGTGAATATTTTATTTTATATAGTGTTTGGTTTTCCCCATAATTTTCTGATTTCTCGAGAATTATTCCTGATTTTTCATTTTTGTGCTATGCTACATTATTCCTTACTTTTCATTTTCTCCTTCCTGTGTAAAAATATGTTATGGTGTTTGTTACACACTTGTTTGCGTGTGTGTTGCATCTAGGGATGCTAATCAATTCAAATGTGTTCCTCTTGTTTGCCAATAGCTTTTTTTTTTCTTTTTTGGTAAAAATGCTGGAAACAAGCTTTTCATTTTGGGCTTTGAGATGCTTGTTTTAAAAAATATTTTATATGTATTTGCACATACAATGCATTTAAGGATGTCAACCCCCACAAAAGTGCATTCTGTTATGTTTAAATGCAATTGTAATAAACCTGAAAACAATTTTGGGCATTGAATGCTTTGAGGTTTTTTTCTTTTTTTCCCTTAGATGCGTTTCCATGTTTGATGCATTTGTGGGCACCAATCCATGCCTAGACGTGATCCCTTTGTTTGCAAATAACTGTTTTTATGTTAAAAAAACTGGACAAACATTTTTTTGGGCATTGAAATGTTTGTTTGCATGTGCCTTGCATTTAGGGATGCCTCCTTCCAAATGTGATCTGTTCATTTACAAATAATAATTACTTTTGTAAAAAAAAATAATAAAAAAAAATACAACATTTTTTTCAATGTTTTAAAAAACGGTCTGCCTAGCGCCTAGGCGCCCTGGACCAAAAATCCGCCCGCCTAGACCCAGGCGGCCCTACACGGGCTGATGTACCTGGGCTGGTGCCCAGGGGGGCTAGGCGGATGTACCTGGGCGGGTGCCCAGGTGGGCTAGGCGTTTTTCGTTTTTTTTAAATTACGGGGTGCCCGAGGTTCTGGGCGCTCGCCTAGGGGCCGTCTAGCGTGTTTTGAATCCTTGATTCTTTTTACAAAAAAACTAAAACACAACATTCTTTTGGCATTGATTTTTTTCCCCTTTTTGTGTGTGTGTTTGGATGTATCTTGCATTTTGGGCATTTGAAATGCTTTTTATTTTTTTTGTTTCTTTTTTTAATATTTGGATGTGTATTGTGTTCAGGGTTGCTAATCCCCACTTAAACATGATCCATTTGTTTGTAAATAACCACTTTTTCATAAGAAGCATGTAAATGGTGTAGGCCTATTCAGATGCCCTTGATGCTTCTGTAGGTGGTTCCCAGATTTTTTCTTGCAAGTGACTTGTTGCTTAGTGGGTAGGTTCTAGTTACTCGAGTTTTCTACTATGTTGCTGGGGAATGGAAATCCTACTTGAGAATCGAGTGTGAGCTGATTTTCCACCAAGAATGGGAAGAGATGTGTCTTTTGTGCAAAGTAGGCATGTGGTCGTATCAACTGTTTGAAACATCACCAAGTAAAGGTCAGGAGTGATGTTCCGCCCTATGATAAGATATCTGCATTGGTAAATGAGAGGGGTAAGACAATGAGGACTTCGAGGCTCAACTCGCATGGAGGGCAAGTTCAGAGGATATGTAACGTCAGTAGAGCAGTATAAGGAGGTTTGGGCATGGGGTTATCAGGGGCTAACTCTAGTCGTGTTTATACCTTGGGGGTTTGCACACAAGGATTGTTTAGGTCTTCATGCATGATGGGAAGAGGCGGGGCGAAGGGCATAGATAGTCAATGGAACTCAAGACGTCACGTTATGACACCCTGCTGCCCTGACCACATAGTCTTGAGCTGTTTCCTACATCTGTAACTTAAACCTCTGTAAATGGCAGTTGAGGCAGGTAGCTTAGTGACAATCTTCGATAAATTCAATTTATCTGTATTTTATCACGATAATTTTTTTTTTTTTAAAGTTAACTGTCCCCACAATGCAACAAATGCCCCCAGGCTGGATGCTGCCAGTCAAGTACGAGCTAGTATTTTAACATGATAAGTTCTAATGCCAATAATGACTCTGATAATATCTTGATCAAATCAATTTATCACGATGGTCTAAGTAATCCCATTATTTCGCAATGAAAAAATTTGCCTATAATATGACCTGTTTATTATAAACGAAGAACTATCCATGTGCATTTGAGGGGAAACATGTCCTACCTAAAAATAGCTCTAAAATATCAATATCAATATCACAAAGAGGGAGCCATCTGCAAGGAATTGATAATAATTATATTGGTTAAAGCTCCTAAGTTGAATAGTGATTTTGATATTTACTTTAACATTTATAAAATGGTCAACATATTTATGTTTTTAATTATGTATAATTTGCATTTATATCTACTAATATTAATTGCAATTTATTTTAAGTAATACATTAATTTTATATTTTAAGTCCAGAAAATTATCTGATTAATCTCAGGTAAAAACGCAAACACGAAGACCGGGATAAACCTCCCCAATGATAATATCTTGATAATGATAATTGTCACTAAGGTGAGAAGTAGGACTATGACCCCATCAATTTGGACCATATCTAATTGGAGGATCCAGCAGATGAGTGATTGGTGGAACTAGAGTAAATTCTCTATAAGAGGGTATTCAGAGAAGAGAGGGGCGCATAGTAGAGCTTAAAGAAGGTAAGGATGAAGGTGTAAACAGTTGTACAAATTGAGGAACAAGGAAGATGGAAGAGGATATGATGAGAATATCATGGCATTGAAGCTGATCATGGTGACATAAGGGGGCGCAAGAGGAGCACAAATATATTGGTACGAGCAAGAAAAGGGCTGGATTATCCTTGAGGACTTTGGATTAAGAGGGGCTACCCAAGTTACCAAACCATTATAATCATTCATGAACCGTTATGAAGATAATCGGGATGACTATTATCTTCCCCTTTATCCATATTGGCTGTAGCTTGCGTCATTTAGAATTAGATTTTCAGTGTTTTCTATTTATTTGTGAGTTGCGACTTTATGTAATATGTATTATTACTCATGGATGTATTGGACTCTTTTTCGATAGCCTGTGAGTTGTGACTTTTTAATTTGTAGCTGTTTTGTTGAAACTTGAAAATAGTATGAAACTTTCATGTCTGAATGTATATTTGTAATTTGCTATGCCCCTACGTATTTGAGTATTGGTATATACTAGTTTTTATACCACATTTTCTCTTTTGTGTTATATATACTAGAAATCATGATACATGTGGACCATTGAATTTATGTCAAATTGTGAAACATGCCAAGAATGAATTATAACCCTTAGTATCTATTAAGTATTTTGTTTTTCTTCATATACATACAGTCTCTCTGTTTTTTAGTTTTCCTCAATTATCTATTTTTTCCTCCTTCAAACAATCTTTTTCCAATTTTTTTCTTAGTGTTTTGGAGTCGGACGGACTCCTTAAGCCAAACTGGGAACCCATAGGTGACTTAGACGAGGCCGCACCCAGTTCCAGGGTCTAAAACACTAGCATTAGCTATTAGAAAGGGCAGCATGAAGCATCTTCTGATGCTTAACTAGGCCTCTGGTTTCACCTATACTTTACTTATTATCCCTGAGTTTGTCTCAGTTAGAAGGGACATGGCTTCTGACTCATTTCTGTTTTGTTTAGGTTTTCAATATGAACACACAAGAAGCTGTGGAATTGCTGGACAAATTTTTTGCAATGAATCCGGATCCAAAGTATTATTCTACTTGCATTGTTTGGCTTTTCTGGCATAAATACTCTGTTTATTATCATTTATATGTTCTTTTCATTTTGTTCCTTGGATCCTGAACATCTCATCTAGATGTATGTCATGCAGTACTTGGAGAGAAGTATTCATGAACTAAAATTAATTTGCTTACTGCCACAGCTATCGGTTATGAGTGCATAAGGTTCTTATTGGAGTTGGATTGATTCTTTCTTCATTTTGCGGCTTTTGTTGCATGTACTTTGGGACTAGAGGCATTTGAAAGAATATTATTTTGGAAGCTATAAAGATCCTTCTATGATTTGGTGGTATAAAATGCGGTATATACTTGATACACGCCAAAATCAATGGTTGTTTAGAGGCATTTGAAAGAATATTATTTTGGAAGCTATAAAGATGCTTCTATGATTTGGTGGTATAAATTGCAGTATATACTTGATACATGCCAAAATCAATGGTTGCTTAATCGAGTCTATGTGCAATGATCTCAACATATCTCGCCAAATAATCCACTATGAGACAATGGTGAGAGAAAGAATAACAAATGCACACAGAAAAAAAAAATATCTACTCGACTTATATAAATCAAAGAAAGAGATAACTCACTACTCCAATATGTAACCCATGAAGAGAAACACAGTTCCAGAACTCCAAAGCCTTGAATTCGTAAGATTACTAGGTCTCCAACAAATCTGGTTTATACATCTAACCTAATCTTAACAGTCCACTCTTATCTTGAATATGTTGGTTTGCAACCCAAGTAATTGTTACAACTTAAAAGAAAAAAAGAGTTTAATTGTCAATTCATGACTATATAAAAATACTAACTTCGCAACTTACTATGAGTAGTAAATTCATGGTTTTCATCCTGACCATTGTTTACATTTCTCAAATTGGGGAACACACTGCTTATTGTCTTTGCATTGAACTTTGGAGAGAAACTTGACAAAATTGGGATTCACATTAATAAACCGGTATGGTTTGTACTACATTGTTAACCTTCTAGCTTACCATTGTCTGTTTTGATTGAAGAAGGATTTTAATAATCCATGGCAACAATTCCTCTCTCTTCCCCTGCATTACCTCACCAACATTAAAATCCTCGATGGATTGAGTTGATTTAATGATCTGATAATGCATGTTGAATTTGGAGTCCAGTATGTCTCTCAAAAATCGAAGTACAGGGACATGTCAAATGTCTTTAGCATGACAGGAAACTATAGTAAATATTAGTGATAGAAAAAGGGAAATATAAGAGTTCTTGCCACTGAGGATGGCCACATAATTGGGCATTTTGTTCAATAATTCAAGGAACAGCAAATACTTGTGGACACAAATTAAAGTTGTCTCCACAGTGTTGAAAATGTCTGAAGTTGTTGTTTGATTCCATATCTGGGACTTTTCCATTTTGTAATATTTGTGGTCTTACACTTTTGCTATTTTTATTTTTATTTTTGTTTTCGTGTTTTTTCTTTTTCCTTTTTTGGGTGCTTACTTTGTACATCTGTGTTTGCAATTGTGTGACATGGATTACTTACAACATGGGTATCAATCCTACCACTTCATGTTGGGCAAGTACCCATAAGCGTCTAATTCACATATTAGCTGATCTGTTTGCCATGAGATTATCTTCCCTTAATAAATAATTCTCTCTTAAAGCACTTGATCTATAGCTGACAATTGGTATTAGAAGGCTGGTCATGCCTTGAAATACTTCCCAGGAGTCTATGGGATGTGCAGAGAGAGCTATTCTACAATCTGGCATCCCAGTGAGACTATTGAATTGGTTTAACAGTGGGATGGCCAGTCCCAGTGAGGTTTACGCTTCATCTACCAAATATCTTGTGGGATATTCAAACTTTGGATCTCTTGTGTGTGTTACACACTGGCTACAATAAATCATTCTAATCTTGTCAAATAGATGTTGTAAATGTGATAAAGGAGACAGAGCTGATGAGCCTGTGGCCCAATGAGCTAGGTGGACCCAATTGTGAATTTATCTTTATCTTGCATGATCCCCTGGCAGTGATGATGCGGATAAAAGAAGGAAATATTTACATACTCCATAATGGCACTTTTTTTCAGTTGCAATAATGAAATTAGTGCTTTACCATGTTTGTGGTGCATGGGAAAGCTGCAATACTGTAGTGTGCTTTTTAATGCTGCACAAGCAGGTCATACCTATATAGGCATAAATCCACTTTCCCACCCGGCTGGAATCTCCTCCTAAGAAGGAGATTTCACCCTAAATGAACACGCTCCAATTTTTTAATGTAGGATCTTAGAATAGCATTCGTTTCAATGCTTGCCATTTCTCTTTCTTTCTCTCTCTCTCTCTCTCTCTCTCTCTCTCTCTCTTTCTTATCCTTTATCTGTGTTGGAGTGATTCAAATAAGTTCATGAACGTGTTTCTCGCTTTATAACTCTTACAACATTCTACAAAACTTGTGATTGCAATAATGGAGGTGGATGTTGGTACCCCTTGTGACATGACATCAATTTAGGATCTAGAAGATAGAGTTAGAGTACTTATTGTCATTTGTGCTTTTGACTCCAAAGAAATATTAGCGTTCCCATTGTTACTCTCATGACATCGTTCATCATATGCATTTTCTTGATTTTGTTTCTGCTTAAAAGGTTGTTTTCTGGTCTTCTTATTAATACGAGAACTCTATTTATTAACCTTGGTTAATATTGCTCATGAAGTATAACCATGAGAACTCTATTCATTATGGTGGTTGCAGTGGACGTGTGAAAATATTTGATTTCGTAAGGGTTTTGACATTAGGCTTTAATCCTCTTTCTGAGAAGGTGAGTTATTCCTAAACCATTTTACTTATTTTCTTAAACTTGTTGCAACTTGCAGGCATGTATTAACATAGTTAATTTTTAATAAAAGAACTGCAATTGCATCATCAGTCATAACTTTTTGTAGCCAGACTCTGTGTTCAATGGTCTCAACTATGGTTTTGAATTCATCTGTGGACCTAGGTTGGCAAGCTTGTCATTTTTCCCTCTGTTTTGAGCTAACTCGTGTACACTAATCATAGCTTGAAAACTCAAAATCTCATGTCCATCAGATATCTAGTGAATTTTATATTTTTTGAAAACAAAAAAATAGAAAAAGGTGGTCATAAAAATCCTTAATCAAAAAGCCTTAGCCCATGAAAAATCGGCTTCGCCTCATATTGCGTGGCAAAGGAAAACTGAATCAAGGTAGTTTGTCAGTAATCATCTAGTCTAACCAGATGCAGTTTTCTTTTTGGAACTATTAACATTTATCTATTTCCATTTCGGGTAGGAAACCAAGTTTCCTGCATATCCAAAGGCACTAACATGTCTTAAAAACACTGATGACCAGTATGTAATTGCTAAAGAAAGAAATAAACTGGCTTATGATCGAATTTTTAACAGAATAAATCAACCTCTCAGTATATCCAGCTAACAACATCTGTGTACCTCGACTATATGATCCTCTTCAGTTACCTTCCCATATTAAAAAGATTTAAACTACTCATATTTAACACCCTCCACCCAAAAGTACAGCAGGTAATAAATTAGTTGTCCTTGTTTTAGAAATTTCTGTTCTGAATTGTCATATATTGTTTGCTGATATTCCTATAGTCGTAGATGTAAATATTTATAGCAGATGAAATTTGGGATGCCTGTGTCCTCAATGCTGTGTCTTCTCAGCATGAAAACCAACCAGCACAATGTCAACACTCATTCATGGTCTTCTGTCTAAATCCCAACCTAACACTATTAATCGATGCATGTAAATTCCTGAAGGACTCAAATAATCCTATTTTATTCTTAAGTAATTTATGCACGATGATAAATAATTCAGATTGGTATTTGTAGCCATCATTTTTTTGTTATATATAGAAGTTGACTGTATATTGATATTTAACAAAATTACAAAAATTCCCCTTGCCCATGTTGGCATGCTACAGGGTGGGTGCTCAGATAGCATGGGCAGCAGAGGGAGAAAGAAAAGGGGAAAGAGAGAGAGTGGGAGAGAGGTAGATGACATCCCACATCTCGGGTGCTTGGGCAAAAAAGACTAAAATAAACAAAAAATAGCTCCACACTCATAGAAACTGGCCACCCTCGGTGTGGGAGCACAAGTACAAAAAACAGGAGAGCCACTTGCAATATCCCAGCCTATAAGTTATAGACTAGCACATCTGTGAGGTGAGGACCAAGGTCGAACATGCTGGATGAGTAACTGTAGTATTATGGGGGTGGAGTGGGTCAATGGCCCTCTGCCTGACGTTGTGGCTCCAGCTGCGCCCTCCCTGGTCAGTCTATCAGTGACCGTTGGCTGCTCGTAGAACCTAGTGAAAGATGACCGTGCAGTTCCTGTAAAGCATATCTGTTCGAATATGTGAGAAAGTCTCCATGGAGGTTGGCCACCCCTCGTGGCCCACAAGATGATGTTCCTAGAGTCTCCTTCTATGAGGGACCCGACTCCATCAAGGGTAGGTTTCTAGCACTTTAGACCCTCAAGGATTGCAATAGATTTAGTTGTAATGGAGTCGGAGTGTCCCAGATACCTTGAAAAGGAGAGGATTTCCCTCTTGGGACTGCCAAGCTTCCACGGTTCCAAAAGGGCCTGAGTTACCCGGAAACTGTCACCGTTGAGCTTAAGGGAGCCTATGTGTGGAGGGGTCCAACTAGGCCTGGTGATGGAGGCTTTGAAAGACGTGGCTATGTAGAATTCAAGGCTATAAGATGGTTGTAGCTTGTATGTTATGGTGTTTATTTTTGTGACAAGTTCAAAGCTCAAATTACAAGCTTCAAACCTAGTTGCTGTTGTGGGCATTGGGACTGCTTCCTAACTCGTTGATATCTATATCGGAAGCGAATTCAGATTTCAAACTTGCACAGAGAGAGAGAGAGAGAGACAGAGATTATGGGCCAGGGAGTTAGAAAGACAATGGATGGGGAAAGAGGGGGGTGGTTAGTGCATGAGACTCAAAATGTGCTGAAGATCTTTGAAACCAATGTTAGAAAAAAAACTCGCACACAAAGAGAGAGAGAGAGAGAGAGAGAGAGAGAGACAGAGATTATGGGCCAGGGAGTTAGAAAGACAATGGATGGGGAAAGAGGGGGGTGGTTAGTGCATGAGACTCAAAATGTGCTGAAGATCTTTGAAACCAATGTTAGAAAAAAAACTCGATTCCACATTGGTGGAGGGTTAATTCCACTTACTCATGAATCCATGATATCGATGAGAGAGATCTGGATTCCATTAATTAGCGATCTAGAACCCCAATTTTGCAGATCAACATCCCTAAATTAAAAAAACATGCATGATTGAGCTGATAGAGCTGGATTGACCACCTTCGTGGGAGATCCCCTAACTATGGTTTAAACCTATCTACTTCATGAGGTTTTCATTGACATAAGTCTCATGACTTTTTCGTGTTTCTTTAATTCCTGTCTCCTCCATTCCCAACCATGGTAACATCAACTGTATTTTCACTCTGTTTTTTGCTTTTTTTGCTTTTTTTGTTTGCTGAAAATTTCTGCATGCATGGCTGAGGTGACCTTCTCAAATGTCTTTTTAGTGTAGCTCCCTGGAGTTGTTTCAACTTCAAACCTGTGAACGTTTTCTTTTTTGGGGAACAAATCATCAAAATTTTCTTTCAAATAAATTTTGGCGGCTCTGTCAAGATGATCCTGTCACACCCCAAGTTTATGATACTAGAATTCCTAAGATGTGACAGTCCATTCTTAATGAATAAAAAAAAAAACAAATTTGAAATTTTCACTAAATATTACATCAAAACAAAATTTCCACTTAACTTTCCGATTTGTACAGCGTTTACTTCACACTTATAATTTGCATGAAGATCTATGTGTATATACAACTGTAATAACACAAAAATACAAAAGGGAATTCATCCATAACTACAACCTTCTTCCAACTATTTCTGTTATACATACGAACCATGCGGCTGCAATTACTCTGAAAAACATTTCAGAATAGTTTGATGAGTTTGACTACTCAGCAAGTGACCATCATTATCCCCACAAATCATGTTTAGAGAGTGTAGATATTTTCCAAAAGACCATATATTAAGCAGAATTTTGACATACTGATTTCATGCATTCTAATATATGCTATTAAACATATTCACTTCTAATCTTACACATATCTTGTATTCCTTATTAAACAAAGAAAATAAGCATAATACATCAACCATATGCACATGATCATATCAAGATCATATTACTACAATCAAGTATCAGATATGGTCAGATAAGTATTCACAATAACAAAAGTCCTGCAATAGAAGCACTAACCTCAGGTTCCAGGCCTTGGTTTCAAAGGTTAAGACTTCTATTATCTCACAGGATGAAGCACCACCAACGGGTAAATCCATTGCATAGTACCTCACACACACACACAATCCCAGCGCGCATTGGGGCTTTTGATAGGCACTGGCCTTGCAAGACACGGCCCTCTCATGTGCCCTTCTGGCGAGAGAGCGTTACACTACCAAAAGGGGTTCCAATGAGTAGTGCCTCACATAAGTTTTGGGGGTGTGACCTCCCAAACACAATCCAATCCTAACTCTCATCCTATTATAGAGAGTGAGGATAAATCACGACTGCCGGCATAAATATCTCATATGATCATAACAGAGGCATGTCTCCATGCGCTCATATTTTATTGATAGCATGTTAACATGCACACTTATTTTATTAGAAGCATGTTGTTTTGCACACGTATCTTATCAGAAGCATGTTGCCATGCACACATATCTATCAAAAGCATGTCTCATATGTAATTACAAGGAACCTCAACATTTCTATGATGTGCATATAGTCATGAGGAGCATCACTATGTCATACTGTCATGCATGTCAGTTCAAAAGACCTTATATGTCAATTGCAGGCTATATATCAATGTAGTAGATGTCAGACAACAATGCTTTTCCATAAAATAATTCAAAGTAATTACTTGCACATAACACTTGTACATAACCCCTGCATATAACACCGTTTAATATTTGCATATATATAACATTTTCAGTAACTAAGATTTTTGCTACAAATATTATAGTTATATATGGAGGTACGTAAAATTTATAGTTTCAGAGATATTATGATTAAATGCAGAATTATTTCTGGAAATACTATAGAAACATCAGTTTTCTTCAAATAATGATTTTACATGAAAAATAAAGCCACTTACCTATGGGTCACTTTGAGATGAATATGGTATTATCGTTGCTGAAGTGGAACTGGAATCAAAGGTGCTTAGGTAGAGAGAGAAATTCCCATTGGAGAGGAGAGAGAAAGAACCAGTTGATGGCTTAGTTTATGGGCTGATGGGGTATTTATGAGTGTGGCGCTCAACCTAGACTCGACACATGGCATTCATGTGTCATTTTTAAGGGCCACCTCATGCTATCATTGGACACTTCATACTGGTGATTGCCACCTCGTAAACACCTCATACTGGCGATTACCACCTCGTGGCAGCTCAAGACACCTCATACTAGCGATTGCCACCTCGTGCCATCACACCTCATACTGGCGATTGCCACCTTGTGCAATCTCGAGACACCTCGTACTGGCGATTGCCACCTTGTGCCATCTCGAGACACCTCATACTAGTTCCTTACTTTATAAATCTTTTGATGCTACAATAATGATGTTCCCATAGTGTCATAACACAATGGACCATCATTTAAAGTCATTCATGTATATAAATTTTTACTTATTTATTTAATTTATATATATATATATATATATATATATATATATATATATATATATAGTATACTACAGANACTACTATATATATTATTACTACGTAAACGTAAAAGTAAAGTTAAGTTTTAGGTTTAAGTATATTATATTCTCACCTA